CTAGACCTAATGGGGTGGTATACTACTGGGACTGACACCCCGACAGATAGCGATATGCATTTGCATAAACAAATTGTTCATATACGGGAGTCACCAGTTATGGTTAAACTGGATCCTCAGTCGTCTAATGGGGATAGAGTAAGTGATACAAGTAGTATTATCACTCACACGTTGCATCGATCTATTTTTGTTCGTCATTGGTTGTCATACATCTTTTTCTGAAGGGCTTTTATGAAATCATATTGGTTTTGACTTTACAGATGATTTAGCAAATGGTGTAATGTTTATGAGAGGTAAGTTTTTCGTTAATGAGGCTGAAATTTTTTGGTCAAACAAAAATTTTTTTTCATTTTTTCAATGATTACGCGGGTATCTTTGATTTTGAAAACCTTGTATTTTTTATTTATAGCTGCCAGTCGCTGTGTTCGAATCTTTGGTTAATCCTGCGGACGAGTCTTCTATACAGTGGCAAAGGATACCCTGGACTCTAGCAAGCGAACAAGCAGAACGTATTGGGATAGATCACATTGCCAAAATTTCTACTACAGCGAGAAGTTCAAAATCTCAAACCAGTTCTCAAGTGGCTGGCCAGCATAGTGCTGTGAATATGCTGCAAGCTCGATTGCAACTAATACATGATTACGTTGTTGTAAGTTTTTTCTAGAAGAACTTTTTGAGGAAACCATGGTTTTGCAGGCTTGAAATTTGTATGCATGACGGAATGAGCAGAGTTAAGGCGAGATTTTTGAGTGGTGAAGATTAAAACAGCACTGTTTTTGAACATTCTGAAGTTGAAATTTTATTACAAAATTTAGTAGTGCTTGCTTATTGCGATTTTAGTTGGTTCAGTGACAAACAAAAAGTCTATACCCAATTTTTTTTTCTGAATCCAGGGAGCCAAAGAGCCATTTTTTTATCTGATTATACAACAAACATTCTTGCTACTTTCAAAATGTGACATTTTTGTAAACAGCATTTTTGAAATAAGTCCTCCTTACGCCCAGTTTAGGTTGAACGGATTTTCTGATGTTGATTATGAAAGGATTTTCTGCAGTTTTACGCCATTTTTTTTTCATCCGGTGGTTCACTATAATCATTTTTAATTTTGCTTTTGCACTTCTCGAAGAATCTGTAAAGTTTTATCTATTTTCAACTACCTGACGATTGAATTTTCTTTACTAATAGTGTATTGAGCTCTTTAAAGAAAAAAAGAGAGGGTCATGCTGAAAAATTACTTTTGCTTGAACAGCTTTATTTGGATCTTCGCTCTCTGAATAATTACCTGTATTTTTGCTATAGGTAGCATCTCAAGGAATGCTTCCGATGGAAGTAATTTTATATAACTGAAATCTTGAGTATTTTCTGTTGGCGTTGCCAGCGAAAGACTGATAAGAATTACTTAAAAATAATGGGCTTTGTCGATTAAACAGTACACCACAGATACAACATCGTAAGTCTCTGGACAGAAATATACGATGAAAATGTTATACAACTTTGACAAGGCGGTAAACAATTAAGACAAATCTCTTAATAACAGAAAGAGATTACGCTGCATTTTTTGGGTGTTACTTGGTGTAAACTGCTTGCCCTGAATGGAGGATAGAAAAGATTTTCTAAACGACTAGTGAAACAGTCGCATGAAATACAATTGATTCTATGGCTCCATATATTTAAGCAAAATTTTGCTGAAGTCTGTCTTCTCGCAGTAGACTAAATTTTGTAAAATTAATTAAATGATAGCAAGTTTCTCACTCCACTCCAAAATGTTTAAAAAAGGATTCTAATGTTTTGTTTTTGTGTGCTCCTCATTAAGTCTGCATCTTCGGACGTATGAAGCTTATACTGGAAAGGTACTGGTATTGGAGATGGTTTTAAGCTTTCTTCACCGTTTCTTCATCTGGGTTTAATTTCCATTTCAGTTCTTGATTATTATTTTTTTCAGGCCGTTCAAGAAAAGAAGTTACCCGCAAATGAAGCGATTATTCGCGAAATCGCGCTTTTAGTTCGAAGGTTGCCAGTGATGGATTTTGAGCGGTTTGACGAAGAGTTTGGCGAGGTAAAATACTATGGAATATCATTTAGGGATTCTTTTCTGAACTGCTGGCTTATCATTTACTCTTAAAAAATTATTTTTAGCAGTGTATTGAGGCAAAGCTTACTCTCCATGTGTTGTCAATGGCAAAAATTTGTGGCATTCTGAATAGTGTAAGTACTTGTGACTTTCTAATTTTGTCAGATATAATGTGTATTAAAGAATCATATTTTTATTAAAAATTATATAGACTACTGAATTTTGTATTCATTTTTCTATTTCCTTGTGATCTATCTGAGTTGGACACGAAACCAATATGTAAAAAGAATGACGGAGTGATAATTACTTTTCTTTAATAAAATACTGAAGGTATGTCTAGGTGGAGCCCTCAAAGGCTTTTAATTATTTTTGTGAGGTTTCAGCTCGTTACAAAGGTAAACTTTGTTTCTTTCGACAGACCACCATTGGGCAGTTTTGGTCCCATCTCAAGAAGATTGCCCCGTCAGCAGTTTCCTTAGATGACGAATGTTTTGAACTCTGTTAATTTCGAGTACTTTTGGTTTAAATCCTGTGTTTTGTCATAATTTCTAACTTTTTTTCGTGAAACTGGTTTTATATCTCTTCGTTTACGGGTTCAGAAGTTTTTTACTTCATTCTAATTTGTCATTTTTGAACTTGCATCATTAATTAGTTATGCTGAAGCTTTTATCTTTCTCAAAATGTTTTCCATAATTTATATGGAATTATATTTTTTGGCTTATTTGTCTTCCGGGATTTGTTTAAACGAAAGAAAATAAAAATATTTTTACTGTTGAACCTTATTTCAAAATTGTTAATTTGCATCCTATTTGGGTTACACATTCTGCTACTTGGTCTTCAGAAGGTCATTTTCCAATTCCTGCTTGAGCCTCTACATTTAACAGGCAATTCTTGGGTTTCCGTTGATGGCTTTGTTAGGTGGGTTTCGTTCACGGTTGTTTGGTCCATGTGCGAGATTTGTATTTTTCCAAAAAAGGTTGGCACAAAGCGCGCCTTCGGCGGAAAAGAAGGTTGTGTTACGATGCTCGTCATTCTAACTTTTTTTGATGGCAATTTTTGTCTTCATCATCGTCTTTCTTGTATGTTAAGTTGAATGAAGCTTCGTGGATGTTACAAGTTGGTTACGCGTTTGTATTGTTTTAGGGGATTTTTGGGATCGACCTTCTGACTGAACCTTCTGGGTTCTCCTTGTTGAATAAAGTAGTAGTTAAAAGATGTGAAAGCATCGTAGAATCGGTGGGTCTTTATGGCGACGTTCAAAGCTTCCAAAACTGGCAGTTGAGTTTCCATTGATTACTACTTTTTAGATCCTAAGTCCTAACAAGAAGGTGAAGACTGTTAAGCTATTTGACGATCTTTCCAATGAAATTTGTTGCGCTGCAGACGTCGTAAGTTCCACTTGATTATTTTAGAGACATAACGTCTTCCGCACTTCTGTGGTTGCGTTTCTATTTGAGGCTTAATTTCCAGGCAGAATGTGTCAGGTCCCTCCATTCTAAATCAGAATATGTTGCTGCTGCTGAAAAGAGCATGCGTGATTTCACTATTCTTGTTGAAAGGTAGCACTTCAATATTAAGTTTAATGCTTACAAATTGCGCTTTTAAAAGCTACTGAGAATAATTGGGGTTATACGAATCTTTGAACTTAAAGCTTGTCCTGAGTTACTCCTGTAGCGTTTAAGAAAAGAATAATCTTTAAAAATCTACAGCTTTTTGCAATCATCGGTTATAATGTTTAGTTATAACACTGATGCTCGACTTTATGAAGCTCTGAAGAAATCTTTTGAAACTGAACGTGAAAATTTGAGCGATGTCGACTGCAGAACCCTACAGCTTTTCTTGAAAGATTTTGAACAGTCTGGGGTTCACTTATCGTACGAAAAGGTCTGTTTTATTTTTATGCTCTTTCCTGAGCTTCTAGTTTAAACTCTGGGTTGCAAAAAATTTAGTAGAGTGACAGGAGTGCAATGTTAGCAGCTGGATTTAAATTTTGTTGGCGAAAAGCGATCAGAGCAGTCATCTACAAATTTTATGTTTATTGAAGCGTTTTTGGTGGGTTTTGCGTTTTGTCGCATTCTTGTAGTAGACTGTCATATATTTTTTGAGTGTAACTATGTAAGTAAATAAATAAATAAGTATATATATCCGTTACAATGCTATACGCGACCAAAAGTGAAATCTTGTACAGTGCAGCCATTAGTGGAATGGCTGGGTGTTAATTGCACTTTTCAAGTAACCTTTCACTGTTGAACCAATTTTTTGATTGCTACGGGTAAAAGCATATTAAGGGTGAAAATGAGACAATGAAAGTTTCGTTAACTAAGAACTGAATTGTGATTTGGCGCGAAAGAAGGGATTAAATGCAAGTAAATTCTGATAGGTGATATGATATAAGTCTTGATTTAGATACAGACAACTACGGAAGCTTTTTAAAGGATAAGGATGTGCGGAGGGGTATGTCGGTGGTATGAGGTTGCCGAAACATAGAGCAAATTTGAACAGCACCAAGAATGATAAGTGAAAAATGGGGGATTGCAAAAGAGTTGAGGAGAAAACATTCAGCCAATCGCGCTTTTTGCAAGAATTCGTAATTGTTTTGCAAGTTGTCATGATCAGAAATCTTTCTATGGTTTCGGGTTTCTTAAGACAAAGACAGCATTTCAACTAAATTAAATCGTTAATCAGTGACCTTCGAAAGCAGAAGAACACTCTAGTTTCATCT